TCCTAGGGTTATAAAAAAGCCCTAGCCACGTCCTAGAACATCAGAGAACCTTAGAGAGAACCTAGATACAGACTTTTGGAGAGCTTTTGGTGAGAGAAGAATAGAAGTTCACAGGATTTTGGGAAGAAGAAGGAAGATTCGATCGTGGAGACTACACATCTGCATGAGCCTTTCTTTCCTCTCTTTTATCTCTTTTCTTCTGAACTTTTTATTGTTTTCTATGAACCGTTAGTAGATCCACGACTATGGGTTAGGGATTCATTTGTGTTTTGGGTATGTTTGAACCCTAACTTGGATTTCGGTTTTGATTTGTTTCGGTTCTATTGATTTGCACTTTTATTGGATTGATGTTTGCTAATCCCTTGGTCAATTATCTTAGATTCTAAACTAAATAGAGATATGGGTTTGGTTTCAGATCAAAATCAATAGGATAGATCGTAGTATTCACATAGAGATATGGTTTAATCGATCTAGGGTTGATGATAGCATTCTTCATGCATCTAGGGTTAACTTGAATAGATCGAGAGATTGACGAGTTACTCTATAGGTAGTGAGTTAGTAGACCGAGAGGTGAATTCTCTATCTTTGTTGCTTGACGATTCCCGAATACAAATCATAATCGTGATTCTCGCATGCTTAGCATATACCCATACACGTGAATACGATCCCGATACCCGTAGTCACCGTTGCTTGATAGTTTACTCGTTTTTATTGCATTATTTCCTTATTCTCCATTCTTTCCACATATTTTCATCATCACTTCCATTTCTACTTGCTTTGATTTAGTTTCGATTAGGGTTTAGATTTAGCTACCGGTCCTTGCGTTCGACCCCGTGTTACAATGATCCGTATCCTTGCGGTGAGTTGTGAATCGGGTATAAATTCTAGACTCGGTACACACGTATCAAGTTTTTGGCGCCGTTGGTCATCCATCCTAAGACTTCTCCAAAACGAGCACGCTTAACTTTGGAGTTCTCTCGAGATAGGCAACCGAAAAGGTAGATGCATCTTGTTATGAGTAGCTCAATCAATTCCTTTAAGTTATCTTTGATTATGTAGTCTCATACCTACACATCTCTCGGATTTTTCTCATTTCGGTGCGTTCGATTCATCCATGTACTCCCTACCCAGAAGCTCGATCAAGAGTCGCTCTTTGTCTGTGCTTTTCGCACCAGCGATCACTCCCCACCCTTTTACGATACTCGAGTTATCACAGACTCACTAGCTTCCGCCTTGTTCGTCCTTGAACCACACCGTACTGGGAGAGTATCGACTCTAATACCATTTGTAACACCACGAGGCTGCTACGGAATGATAGAATTGTTTCCACACACCAACACGACACTTTTTAGTATGTTTTGTCCTCACTCGCACACATCCCGGAAAAGTACTTCTCAGGAGGTCACCCATCCTAAGATTACTCCAAAGTGAGCACGCTTAACTTTGGAGTTCTCTCGAGATAGGCAACCGAAAAGATAGATGCATCTTGTTGCTATGAGTAGCTCAATCAATTCCTTTAAGTTATCTTTGACTGTGTAGTCTCATACTTACACAGCCCTCGGATCCCTCTCATTTCGGTGCGTTCGATTCATCCTTGTACCCTTACCCACAAGCTCGATCAGGAGCCACTCTTTGTCTGTGCCTTTCGCACCGGCGATCGCTCCCCCCTCCTACAGTACTCGGGCTGTCATACAGAACATGAGACTGCATCAATCAGAAAGAGTTTTTGCACAATGGATTTAAATGTAGGAGACGGACAACACCAAAAAAGTGTGAGTCAAACGCAGACAAAATAGGAATGTGATACAGTTGAAATAGATAAGAGCTTGAGGATCAATGCAGATGCAAATACAGTTGAGTAGATCACAAAATATACATATCCAAACTTTTGTCAAATTTACAAAGATAAAATATACATGATAGAGAGAGTTGTTCTAACTCCATGAAATGATCATGTTGATGAAGTCAATTCATTCATGTTTACTCTTGTGGCACAAGAATGTAAATAATATTTGAGTTCAAATAACATTGAAGATGAAGCATCATTTTTAGATAAACTTTATATCCTATTGATTTTGTAAACTCACTCGCATGTTCTGGATTGTGTGACCATAAATTATTGCTAAAGAGTAATGTTCCAGTAATGTTGTTAAGAAACACTAATAAAAAAAGAAGAATTTTACAACGGAACTCGCATGATTGTTATCCGACTTGGTTACAAAGTGAGGCAAAAGTCAGTATGGGCAGCCATATTGAAAACAAGGTCTTTATTCCTAGAATAAAAATATGTTCAAGTGATAAAATGGTCATTCAAACTTACAAGAAGTCAGTTTCCACTACAAATATGATATAGGATGACAATCAACAAAACCAAGATCAAACATTGAAAAAAATGGGAATATATCTTCCCAATCCAGTTAGACATGGTCAGTTGTACGTCCCACTTTCAAAGGTCACATCTTCTGAAGGACTCAAAAAAATATTAAACTTGAAACTCCTAAATATTAGTTCAAACGAAGTGGAGAACATCGTATTCAAAAATATATTCAACCATTTTTAAAAGTAATTTTTTATTTTAATATAACTAAAAATACGTTGACTTGTTGTCTATTACTCAATAATTTGATTTGACTTATTTTAGTAATTTTGTTATGATAGCTAACCACAAAGATATATGATAATCCAAACAAAGTGTTACAAGTTATTCCAACCAAACTATTGACAGTCAAATTTTTAAACTCTCTCTAGGTTTGGTAAAACTGACACTCT